TATATAGTTTTATATATATATATATAGTTATACATATAGTTATACTATAGTTGACCAATTGCAGAATCTTCAAAGGAGTCTAAGGAAGTTCAGGCTCTTAAAGTACTTGGATCATAGAAACTTAGACATGTGTCTAAGCTAACTGGATGCATTTCTCTGGAAGTGCTTGTCTCTCCATTGATTTTAAGGGGCTGTTTAGATGTCTGATTTACACTAGTCATTTAACTCCTGTCTGGCTGAAGCCAGCTGAGGGGAATCTCATCCTGTGCATATAAATCCTCTTGCATTGTCATATGGCTCCACTGAAATCTCGGTCTGACGTATGGTCTGCCAAACGTATCCTGGGCTGAAAAGAAGCGTGACGAAGGAGGTGATTCTCGCCCTCTAATCCACCCCTTTTAAGACCCCTTCCTGGAGTACTGTGTTCAGCTCTGGAGTCCTCAGCACAGGAAGGACAGGGACCTGTTGGAGGGAGTCCAGAGGAGGGCCACGAAGACAGTCAGAGGGCTGGCACACCTCCTGTACAAGGACAGGCTGAGAGAGTTGGGGTTGTTCAGCCTGGAGAAGAGAAGGCTTTGGGGAGACCTTATAGCAGCCTTCCAGTACCTGAAGGGGGCTACAGGAGAGATGGGGAGGGACTCTTTATCAGGGAGTGTAGTGAGAGGACAAGGGGCAACAATTTTAAGCTGAAAGAGGGTAGATTTAGATTAGATATTAGGAAGAAATATTTTACCATGAGGGTGGTGAGACACCGGAACAGGTTGCCCAGAGAAGCTGTGGATGCTGATATGACAGATTACGACAGACTTCTAATTTGTTTTCCCCACACGTGGAGGGGTTCAAGGCTAGGCTGGATGAGGCTTTGAGCAACCTGGGCTAGTGGAGGGTGTCCCTGCCTATGGCAGGGGGGTTGGAACTAGATGATCTTTAAGGTCCCTTCCAAACCAAACCATTCTGTTCTACAATTTTTAAACCAGGATCCCACTCAGAGCCCAGCAGCAGAAGTGACAGCTGTGAATGCCGGTGCGGTTTCCTCCATCCCTGTGCCTGTTGGAGCCGATTCCAGGGGCCCCTCCTTCCCTCAGCATGAGAAAATAGATACAGCGAGGCCCCACAGGCGGGAAAGTGAAGCTGGCTCAACAAAAGAATAAAGGGCATAATGTGCCAAATGAATGCTTATTTAAGAAAAGCATCCCAGCCAAAAGGAAGGGAAAATACAGGAGTTGAGTTTTGTCACAGTCTAGCCTCAAGCTAGTCAACTTTTTAGTAAAATAAAATCTAGCCTGAAAAATTAGTAGTAGCCTACAAATATTTTAATTTCCTCATAGTAAATGAAGTGATTAAAATTTTCATGAGTAAAACTTCCGTATTTGTTCAAACAGAAAATCATGAGGAACGGAATAACGAAGATACTGTGCAAAATTTTTAGAACAAATAAAAATGGATGTTTTTACAAAAATACCAATCCCTATTTAGAGACAGATTTCTGCAGAGATTCTTTTCCTTTGGACTGGTTAACATTTCTCAGGCAATTAATGTACTTCTCTTATCTATACTCTCTAGAAGATATGCCTCTTCTTAATAACCAGATCTCAAAACTACTAAACCCCATTGATTTCTCTTACAGTAGTAGTGTAGACAGCCTCTGGATCATCTTCTATAACTCTGGAAAGGCCGAAGTCTGACACTTTACAAACAAGGTTGCTGTTGACAAGAATATTGCGTGCTGCAAGATCCCTGTGTACATATCCCATATCAGCCAAATATCTCATTCCAGCAGCAATTCCTCTCAACATTCCCACTAGCTGAATGACTGTAAATTGTCCATCATGTTTCTGGAGGGAAGAAAGGAGCAGCAATTCTTGTTAGTATAGCTGAGAAGAGAAATAAGAATTAGTTTTACAACTTTAGCTTTCTTCTTATTTACTACTTCTGTGGCAATTCATCCTGGGGCAAAGAAACTCACTTCAAACACAAGTTTTATTTTCTTTAGAGATAAAGCAGTACATCCAGTTAAGAAATGTGTCAGTCAGTTAATATACCAGAGGTAAAAAAAAACCCCTTGCTAATCGCTATAAATTTCTGGCAAGTCTCTTCTAAGAGACATTACCTGATGCACAGCTCTTTAAGTTTGCCTCCATGCTCTTCATCTCTCAGTATAATTATTTGTATCAAGAAAATAAGAATTATCTCCTGTTGGAACCCTAGCTGCTGATAATTTTATTAATATCTTGGAGTTTATCAAATAAACATAATCTTTCTGTTCTCAGATGAGTGTTTATACATCATCTCACACTGTCTTGTACACCTGGTAAGGAGTCAGAACTGGCCAGTTCAGAACACACACTCAAAAAATGCTAAACTGTTGTGAACTTGCATTTATTTTTCCTTTTTTCTTCTCTTAAAAATGACCACAGTTCATTAAGGGATTCTTGTATGCTGATTTCCACCATTTTGACAGAACAAAATTCTGCTCCCAAAAGGCAGAAGATTGGGCTTCCAGTATCAGTGGTTTTAACTTCAGCTGGTGGCAATAATAAAACCCACCACACCTATGCCACATTAAATCACTTAAATTCCTAGAATATTCCCATGCGATCCTATCTGATCTTCTCATTTCTGATCTGGTTTTGCTGAAATAATGTAGAAAACTGCTAGTATTTGTCAAAATCCATTTCAGACTAAAAATAATTTTAATCATATGAATATCATGCATGTATACACATATAAATGCACATATATAAAACCACATATTTAAAAGTGACAATATACAATATAATATATATGCCACTTAAAATATGTTTCTATATGTTTTAATTTTGATACTCACCCTAAGAAATGCATCTAAGGCCCCATTCTCCATGTATTCTATTACAATCATGACTGGTTTCCCTGAAAAGAAAAGAAGACAGATTTTGTTTGAGAAACTGTAACTCAAATGGAGTGTCTTTTTTTTGATAAAACACATGTTATTCCTTTGAAGGACTGAATCATTGAGACAACGAACATTTCTTAGGCCTCCAGCACTGTTACTGAGCTCTAATAAGTTCTTAAATGTCTGCATGGAACGTGGTCATGATTCACAAAATTAAACCACACAAATCAAAATGTCAGTGTGTTCTGCTAACTCCTGCTGTGTGAACAGGACTCTGGAATAATGACACTTCAGATAATATGAAAGGACATAAGAAACCTTATCTCTCTGCATGGCCTTTGAGGCTAAATGAAACTAGAAAAATAATATATTTCAAAGTATTTCATCTTTTAATCATATGTGCATCTTAATCTTTTTCCTCAGGTTGCAGCATAAAGTAAGTATTGTTTTAGTTAGTTACGCATCAGAAGAAAATCCATTAGGAGCAGGCAGCTTGTTTATAATTTGAACATTGACCATGAATAAGCTAAAGTAATTTCTGACATTATGTTGCTATTTGACTGACAGATTGAGCCACTGCTTACCTCTGGTAACGACCCCTTCTAAGTGAACAACATTAGGGTGGTCAAACTGTCCCATGATGCTTGCTTCACACAGGAAATCCCTCCTTTGCTTCTCAGTGTAGCCAACTTTCAGAGTTTTTATGGCTACTGCAACATCTCTCTTGCCAGGAAGCTTTAGACGCCCACTGCACACTTCACCAAACTCTCCTAAAATGAAGTAGATCAACGCTGAATTACTCTGACTGTAATATCAATATTCTTTTCAGGCCTTGATTCAACTAGCTGCCTAAGTGTGTGTTCAAATTTAACATGTGAATGTTCATATTCAAAACTGATTACTTAGGAACGCAAAGACAGGCATGCGCTTTAAATGAACTGCTGAGTAAGTACCTTATGGAGTAAACACTTCACATTAAGACAATCTACAGGATGGTTATCTGACTCTTTTGAAAGACTTGTTAGCAATTTGTTACTTTTTTTTTTCATAAATAGAAAATAAATATGAAGTAGCTTTCATAAGAAAATAATATTACAGAAATAGAAATACAATTTCTAAGTGAAAATGTCCTTCTGTTCTACATGGTTTCCTTGCTATCTTTAGATTCAATAGGCTTTTTCCTTTCAAAGGCAGCTCTTTCGGAGCTGCTTTTAATTTAACATCGTTATGGTGTTAAATGAAGCACTACATTATTACCTTCAAGCAGGATAATTTACTTTGCAGATTATGAAATGAAAGGTGTGACTTGTAAAAATTTGTTACATTAAACAAACACAAGCAAATGCTGGAAGTTTGTAAAAGGTTTCTAAACTAACAGACACTTGGAACTTGAAGAAGCATGTGAAAAAAAATGCCCAAATAGCCAGCAAGAATACCAAAAAGAAGCCTCAACAACCAAAATTTTGGAGAGAAGTAATTGGACTCTGTCAGACAGGAAAGAGGATGGAAGCATGTGAGATGGGGATTTGACTGGCAAAACATCCACCTCCCTGTTATTGAGATTGTGGGAGATTTAAGGATGGTCCCGTGCTTCATGGCTGTGTCAGCAGAGAGAGAAAGAGAGACACCCTGTTCTGTAGCCAGGAAGAAAAATCTCTTGGGATATATAGGAGAAAAGGGTAGTAACATATCTTACATTGAATAAAGGGGAACTTCTCTTCAAAAAGAGAAAGATTCATTGCAAAAAATATTTAATAATCTGATACTTTGCAAATTTATCTGGAGTATGGGAGATATAGATCTAAGTCCCTCCTCCAGATCAAATCAAGTCTGAAATTTATCTCTGCATACCTGTGGAGTGCCTTAACATTACGTTATTGAGTTTACACAAGTATGCAGACACACCTACATCCAAGACATGTTTTAGGGTGAATGCTGAAAAAAATGGTTGAATTAGGAAAGACTAACACAGAGAGTTTGATTAGAGAATCCCTTTAGGACACAGACTGAGATCCTGAGAAATCTGTTGGGATCAGGACTTCAGTGCATGTACAAACTGGCAAGGCAGTGGAGAAAGGTACACTTGGAAATAGAGCTGAATGCCTGAAAAGGTAGATAGATGTTGAAGTGTCCTAGTGGATGAGTTCTGAAAAATCTCGTTTAGGACACCGTCACTGTTCCAATGATACTGTTCTCCTGTCACCCTCAACAGCAGAGCTTAGAGGAGGAAAAAAAGCAGTATCTGGGCCTCAGCTTTACAGTTGTCCAGCCAGAAGGGTATAAATTTGATCAGACCTTGGTATTTCCAACCGACTTGTCTGGGCAAATCTCCACTCAGCATGGCTCATAGGAGATGACCGCTCGCAGAATCAAATTCCTCTCCTCCTGTTCCACGCTAGTTGAATTAAGGTTAGATTCCATCAACTCCATATACCTCTGTTAACACCATGCTGTACCTGAGCTAATTGGCCAGCCAGAGTACAACTGTTCCTGCCTGCACAGGTAAGGCATTAGCTTCAACCACCCTTGGGCCCTGGAGTCATGGTCGGAATATCCATGTCACAGCTATGAACACCATGAGGCATAGCTGTTACATACCTAACAACTAGCTGCTCACACCTTTAGCTTGGTGCCTTAACCTCCCTCTTGCACTTCATTAGCAACACGGTTGACTATTCATGAATTCACCATTCTCCTCACTCACAGCTCCTAGCCACAAGAACTTACTAAAAGGTAGCAATTTTCTCTAGCAGTACCTTCCAAAATTGCTTTTGTTCCACAAACAAAACACGTCTGAAAACCAGACGTGCGTGTGTGCGCGTGTGTGTGTATGTGATACCTCAGAGCCAGGTAATTAGGATACTTGGCACAGGAGGCACTAAGGCTTAACTCCTTTCCAGCAGTCTGTGATATGCTTTTGATTGATTTCCAAAAGCAGATCACTCACACTCGGGCAAACCACAAACTTGAACTTGTATGTTATGCTTTTCAGGCCCGGATGCTAGCCAATTATCTACTCTTATTCCCAAGAAAATAGTGAATTCAGCTGAAATTACGCCCCAAAATGATCCAGAAAATATGACAACAAGGGCTGGAACACTGCATAGCCGCACAGCCACTAGCTCAGCATGTCAACAAGGAAGAGGCTAAAACAAAGGATGAGCAAGGACTCAACATAGTGGGCACCATATTCTCTATCTGACAGGTGGCCGCAGCGGGATGGTAATGAAAATGTTGGCAAGGAAAGCACATAGCCCTCATACAAACTGAGCACAAGCATACTTGCACCCTGTTTGTCTGAGACAGACATATCACTATTCAATAGTTGATGTGGCCAGCATTGCTGATGCATATTGAGACTGCTAAGTGGATTTTCTGGTGCTGTCACTAGCAGAAATTCTTTGATGTATGAGCTTCAGCTGCTTCTTTGGGTCTTTAACATTCTGCTGTTCCTGGACTGCATTTCATTTCACTCCTGTTTGCTATCTACATCAACAGGTTAAAGCTGTAGCTAAACCCCATACACAATATGCTTTCACATCATAACACTTCTAATTAACTTTCTTCAGAATGACTACTGACACACATTAAGCTTTTTGCTATCAGTTATACTCATTAAAAACAAGAATAAATTAATCTACATTCAGAAAAATTAACATTCTGGAATTAGTCTGTCATAACAGTGAAAATACGTTTTAGACTGCAACTGAAGCATTTTCAGCATTTTGCTCAGAAGGCATCAGCGAAGTCCAACTGAATATACCTTTGTGCGCTGAACTGTTGCTATGCTGATATTTTTTTAACTCAAAGCAAGAGATAATGCTCAGTAATTTTTCTGTGCTAATCTTGAATTTAAATCTTCCATATTGTGCATTTATTAGAAGAGATGCTGCCGTTCCAGAATCACAAAAATTACTAGTTAGCAAGGGCTGGATTCTTATGGTCTTACTCATCTGAAGGACTAATTTGCTCAGCAGTGTTGTTAATTTCAACGGTACTACTTCTTGATTAAGACATGATTCAACATGAGTGAGATTACTTTAAAGAAGCATTGTGAATTCTAAGTGTAAAGTTTTTTTACAGGTAAACTAGCTTATTTTAGAGATATTTCTTCTTCTCTTCTTAAATAATACCACAGTATGTAATTTACAGTGCATGCCAAACTATAGGGTGATTTGAAAAGTATTCTACTAATACTCTCATAAAACAACAGGAAAGCAAAAGAACATTTCCTCCAGGAATCCAGAGTATTTGATATTTTTCTTACCCACAGAAACTTAATTTCACTACATGGAGTAGTGCAATAAAAATGTCACATATCTTATTAATGCAAACAAATGAAAATGCCTTTTTAGAGCATGAACACCATGGCTTTAGTAGGTGGTAGGCAGTTCAAGAGGAAGAAAAGCAATGTAAAGCTGGTGCAATTACAATCAGTCATGAGAAGTTAAACAATAACTTTTTGTATTCATAAAATATCAAAAAGAAAAATGGTAGAACAAAAAACAGCCTGAGGGAAGATTTTGTTATACAGAAACAAGACCTTCCTAGTCTCTATTTAAGATTTTGTGCTGCAGCCAGTTTTCTTTAGTCACATGAACAAAAATTCAGAGGTCAAAAAGACCTCTTGCAAAAGGAAAGCCAGCAGAATTTGCACTCATGCCTAACGCCTTTACTCTGACAGTAAATAATAGGCAGCAAAACCGGCCCCCTCCCCACAATTACATTTTAAACAGCAGCTACAGAATTAGAAACCCACAAGCTTTCAATATCAAGCAAGACTCTTCATTTACTTATTTTTTGTGTGTTTGTTTTTTTTCCTCTGTTTGTCTTTACATTTTAGAAACGAGTGCAGCTTCATTGCTCTTAACCACTCTGGCAAATGCAAAAAGCTCTTCTATAGTTGAGGTATAATTATTTGCCTGTCATTATGATGTATGAGTTTCGATCCTGGCTAAATGGAACAGTTGAATCAGGAAGCCACAGCAGCCTTACCTGCACCAATCACACGCTCAATTTTAATACAAGAGGCATCTAGCTCCTTGGCGAATTGATGGACAGCTCTATTTGGGTCCTCGTAGGTTTCAGGGTCAATGTAGGTTTTGGTGCCTGGAAATTTAACTGTAATGATGTAAGAAAGCATGACTGTGATGAAGCAAAGGCACTTATTGTGCAGTCAGCCCAGGAATTCCATTATGCAGAGTGCTCCTTGGAAGAGGGAACCTGCTTCCACACTGCCTGAGTCAGAGCCGCCCTAAGAGGCAACTTCAGCTTTAGGCATCATCTGCAAGCATGCTGACACAAGTACATAATTCCATCTCTATAAAATGACTAACATTAGCATCTGCATCTCCACCTTGAAGTGAAAGAAGTAATAAATATTAAACAGTTCTCAATGGAATAAAATGCAAGGGTTGAGCGGGAATAAAAACAAAGCAGAAGGGGCACAAGACCAGCAGAGGAGGTGAAACTTTCTTTTCTGTGTAAGGACAGCTTATCCTCTTTTCCCAGGCAACATAAACAGCATTTCTTTACATTATCTCTGTTTTCTAGCAGGATTTGAAAGGCTCCTCCACCTACTTCAATTTGCTTAAACTACTGCATATAATATTATTTACAGACTGTGGCAACAGCCAAGCTAAACTATTCACAGCACTTAGAATTATATCCTTCAGTATGTTTCTTGCACTAGGATATGAACATGAGAAACACTTGTAGTCAACTTGCAAAGGCACAGGAAGGGAAAGTGGACTCTATGGCACAATTATTCCCTCTTACAAGCACCTAAGTGAATAATATGCAGCAACTTGGTTTCTGCTCCTTCTTTCTCCAATATAGCACTCAGTGCAACTCAGGCCAGCATGTAGTTTTTTCCCTTAGTCTGCTGCTGATTCAGGAAAATTATTTTTTACCCTTCTGGTGAAAGTAGAGCAACCCTGGAAATCTATTAACCAAGAGATTTTTATGAAACAAACTTGGCTCACAAGGATTACAGTCCTGAGCTTTAATTAAATCTGTGAATTAAAACTCAATATGAAAATACAAAAATGTCCCTCTGATAATTGACACACTGATATACAAGACCAGGATCAAAAGTCAATACAAAACATAAACAATTTATGGTTGCTTTGTAGCCTTTTAATTGAATATAAAATATTTTAAATTTGAAAATATATTGAAAATTAGCTCAGTAACCATGTGCATTCATGTTTCAGATGGTATTACTGACGAAAAAAAAACCCCAAAACCCTCATAAGAAGGAAAAAGCTAGAGAAATTGTTTGAGGGATTTAATGAATATACATTCAGATAAATGATTTGAAATTTTGCCTAGATGTTATTATCTGCCATATTATCTATTTAAATAGATGTTCTTCCAATTGTATTGATAATGCTATGGGTTTTTAAAATGATAAATATTTATTTCTTAAAACCAAAAAGGACCAGGGAAAATGAGAAGAAAGCAATAGGCTAATCTCCTATAATCGTGCTTTCAGGCAGGGAGATGGAGAAGGAGCTATCCTCCTGTGTTTGTGATAAGGGGCCTGGACTGGAAGTAACCTTGCGAATCTCAAGTGGGCCTCTGATGGTTCTTTATTCAATCTGTCATAAAACATTTTGACAGACCAAGGCTATCCTGGCATACCAAAGTGAAATAGTGCTGGCCTGGATTTGAAGACATTGTTAGGAGAAAATGGTAGGAGGAAACCAAATATAAATCTGAATTGCTTGACTAAACTCCTCCATTGTAGCTCTATCTTCAAGTGTAGCACTTGAGGTCACAGAGAGTTGAGGGGGACTGGAATGAAATATATGATACTCTATTAAATATAGTGCTTTAAAACCTGCTATAAAAATGGTTACTTGTAAGTTTTTGCCTTAAGTAACTGTCTAAGTTATGTTTTTGAAAATCCAATCTGGTACCTCGGCAGAGAACAAGGCTGTCTAGACATTACGGAGCAAAGACACCAAACTAGTGTTCACAGCTTTGCGACCAATCTGGTGACCATGGCACTGGGTTCCGTCTCATTTTTGTTCACGGTTATCAAATAACATTAAATACACCACCTTCAATCAACAGGCAATGAAAAACTAGCTTGGCAAAAAGTGACTTATATTTGGTGCTATGTGTATGCCAACTGTTACGACTGATTTGCCGGATCACCAGATTTCTTGAAAATAAAATGAGAGAAATTAGCACTTATAAAGTCTCACCATTTATGGATCAACTATTAATCATTAAGTAGCATCTTTCATATTAATTTGTTTACACTTTCTCGAAACAAAAAATGCCACTGGTAATGGAGACAAGAAAAAGAATTATTTAGCTAGCACATTCCTCCTGCTTATACACTGACATGCAAAAATACATAGTTGATCTTTTCCTTCATGGGCATAGTGGGGATTTTAAAAGTGAAAGCAGTAGCTCTCCTGAAGATGTGAAAATATTACAATGCATCTATGAGAGCCAAATTTCAAATCCATCACTCCCCGAATAGTAATATTTTAGTAACATCAGATTTTTGATGAATACTTTAAAATCAGCTGCGCTGCAAAGTGCATGATAAATAATTCTTATCCCGTTATTATTTTCCACCTTTCTTGAACAGATTATGAATTGATTGACTAAAGCCGCATGATGTCATTGCATTACTTAGTTTAATAGCAAGCATTACTTAGCTTAATACTCACTGCATTTAAATGAAATTACTTGGGTAGCAACACACCCAAACTCAGGAAGCATGAACAAATTCCAGCTGATCTGATTTTTTCAGGGTAGAAAGGTGAAACAGAAACCTTGATCTGATTTTGAGTGAAGCTTTGCTAGGACTCATCTAAACTCATCTAAACAAGCATGCTTTTAGAAGATGCTACAAATTCGTGACTTTATTCTCCATGTGACACTACATTCTCAAAATAGCTCATTATTTTAACAAATGTAAAATAAGAGAAACCATATTGCTTTAATAAAAAAAAAAACAACTATTGGATTTAAGCTACAGCTGCAGTTATTGCTAGATAACAAAGACTACATACAGCATGGCATGACTAAATGGCAGGATCTACTGATATGGGTAGAACTTTTCAGGTATGAGAGAAGACTGGAAACCCATGTATTATTGTGTGTCAGAATTTATATTCAGTTTAATTCTATTACATTATTTTGCAATTTTGGATGCTCAAAATAATTTTGCAACTTAGTTTTCCCATACTTCCGGAGTTAATGACTGATTCTAAAAGAAATTAAAACATTTTTGACTTCTCTTGTCAAAATAATATTACAACTGAAATGAGAAAGGGCCAAAATAAGAAAGTTTTTTAAACTATTTTGATAAAACTGAAACTATTCTTGCATAATTCTTCCTCTCCCCTTAAATGTTCAAGATGTTTCTTGAAATACATCAAGAAAGATGTATTTTATTTAATTTTCCCAAATTTTAATGTGCGATTTTAATGAGAGGCTTTAGGTGCTATTCTTTGCTAGGCAAGTGATTCTAGAACAGAGAACAATAATGAAGTATCTGACCTTTCTTTTCATATTAAATATTCTATTTTTAAGGACATTATGTTTTGTAGATATTGATGCTACTCTATTCATATTAGCAGAAAACAGCTTCTGAGCAGAACAGTTTCATTGTTAGGGTGACGCAGCGACCCACACTTTCTTAATCTGAAGTTTGCCTGAGGTAAAGACCATACAGTCACTTAGCCAAAGGTCTCTCAAATACTGTTCCTCAGAGGGATCACTGGGACGGTGTGAAACATGTATTCAAAGAAACCGAAAGGAAAAAAAAAAAAAAAAAGCAGAATGAAAACGACAGTATATCATACAAATGTATAGAAATAAAACTAACTGTGTGAGCCGTGTCGACATTAAGCTGCATTCTTTTCATGTAGGTCACATTTTTACAGTGTTCGACTTCCCACTTTCTATATACAAAGAATTTTTTAGATTTCTTATGGCTTTTTCTTTCATGGAGTTTTGTTTTAGTATTGCCTACACTATTGCATTTGGGAATTTTTGAAAGGGGGAAAAAAAAGCAAAACACTTACAATGAAAGTAAAGTTCTTCATCCCCTTCTTGATCAGCTTTGCTATAGCCACAATGCCTGAAAAGAAAGATGCTAGTTTTAGTGGTAAATAATGATTTATTTCCTCACATCTAAAGTCCTGACAACATCAGCTTTGCAGGCTGGGATTTTCAGGCACGGAGCACCTAACTCCTGTAGGCCCTTTGAAACTTTCAGCTATAATTCTCTTGACAGCAGAGCTTTAAATAAATCATGAACAGCTCCAATCAAAAGGCTTTTGTATCAAATACCAGTTGGGACAGGTCCTAAAGAGAAAATTCTAGTTCTGGTGAAAAGTTTTATCTATGGATGAAACAGAGGATTAAAGAACTTGAAAGCAGAACACAGTTTTACATTAGAGTATTCTTAAACTCACCGCTGTGCCTCTTTGCCTTGAATTTAAAGTCATTTAAAGGCTTGTCAGACAAAGTGTCAGACTTCTGCATGTGAGAAAACTGAACAGAAAGAGGGACTTTGAGGAGTACAGGTAAAGAACCTTCTAGGGGTTCCTTTTACAGCACGTTTACATAGGACAAAAAAAAACCATCTTGATTTAAGTGTGTCTTGCCAAAGGAAGAGGACAAACTGTATAATTGATAACATAATTTAAATTAAAATTGTCTTTACTAAAAATGACTTCTGTTTCAGTTTTGCAAATTACTGTCTCAGATTAAACTACATCTCAAGAGTTCCCAAGAGTGGGGTCAGATGTGCTTATGCCTATGCAAGGTGCAATACCTTCGCCCAATGATGAATCCAAACACCATGAAGACCAGGATGATGGTTCCTGCCACAGCAACCACCGCTATGATAATAACAGGATTCTGTTCACTGGAAACAGCTGTGGCTACAAACAGAGCACAGACAGATATTAATTTAAAATTATTCCCTACAAAGGAACTGCAAAAAATTAAGTCAACCTTCATGAATTGCAGACTGTTAGTTTACCTCTTCAGTTGACTGAAACTATTGGATTGATAAAGTTAGTCTAAAGAAGGACCTCCATTGGAAATTAATCCAAATGCTGGATGAGTTAATGATCATCTACGGGGAATAAAAAGGAGTTATGCCGGAATTGACCTGGTCAAAGTGACACAGCCATTAGCTGAGAGCCAGCACCAGCCACTTCCACTCCCTCCTGCAGCTGCACTGCCTTCTGTTTTGCCCAGTGGTTGAGTCCTTCCTAAAAGGGAAGACCTGAATATCCCTCCCTGTAAGGGGGGACAGTAGGAGAATAATCCCTGAAGAGCTCTGTTCCTAGCCTCCCCCCCTAAAACTGGTTGATATGACTTTGATGGTACCCAAAGGAAAATTCTGTAAGAAGAATGTCTGAGATGAAACACTATTAAAACAGATTTCCTGTTTAGCATATTTCTATCTCTTACTGATATTAATCATTGTAAATTGCTATTATTACTTATCATTTGTTTCTGTTAGCAACGAAAAGATACTTCCACATATACAAAATGGGATTCTCCATGCTTCAGAGAATTTACATGCTGAAATATCCACACATTATTGCTCTTTTTATTCAGATACACCAATGCTATTAATATATGCAAATGTATGCATGTCACATTAATGTAATCTGAGGATGTAAATACTTAGCCTGAGAAACCTCAAGGTTTTTTAAACACATTGCTTGCCGGACACCTAATGAGGTGGCCATATACTCAGCTGCATTAAATGAGCATAGCTCTACTGAACTCCACAGAGGTATGGTGGTTTGTAACAGTGAGGATCCAGCCCAAGAGACTGAGAACAAAGGAGGAGACATGAGACATCAGGCAGTGATGCTGAGCAAGGGACTGTGAAAGTGTCAGTCATCTGGAAGCAGCAGTGAGATAAAAGAGAAAAAAAAAAAAAAAAAAAGGAAAACCAACTGATAGCTGATTAACTACATTGTAGATGGCATGTTAATATGGTTAACTGCTGCTAGTGGTACCTGAACAGGAACGTCTACATGAGTATTTTATGAATTCCACAGAATCAGGTTCCTGTTGCAGATTTCAGAGGTTCCCATAGAAACAAACAAACCAGTCTTTTCTTTGCCATGTCTTGAGAGAAATGAGCCAATCAACATGATTTATTTGTCACTGTTACTGATGTGTACCAGCTGCTTCTCCCACCAAAACAACAAATCCTTTGTTATTCTACACAGATACAGAATAATATGCATTGAGAGGAAATTTCCTCTGTGCCCCCCACTCTTCCCTGCCCCACAGTTTCATTTCCTAAAGAAACTTTGTAATTTTTCCACGTTCTTCCTAATGCAAGTAAGGAAGATCTCATTATTTGTATTGGTCTTTAACCAAAAAGAACAAATGCTTCTTTCTAAGTAGCTATACCTTCCTGAGATACCCAGCTCAGTAGGATGCTACTGCAGGCCTGCATATATCCCAGATGTGGAACTTTTAGAAGTCAGTTGTCACTATCTTGCGCAAGAGTGTAAGGGCTTAAGTAATACAACTCAGTTCCTGTAACATCACCAGGCCATCAAAGCAGACAATCCCAAACATGGGAGTGTTAAAATTATGCAAAATACAGCATTTCCAAAAACTATTCCCTCTTCTCTTTGAACTTCAGTGCAAACCTCACTTGGAAGTCAAGAAAAAGCAGCATCTTGTCAGAATGACCAGGACGCAAAGCTGCATCCACCTAACAGAGTTTGGAAAAATACCCACCCCAGCCTGTCCCCTCATCTAGTAGCCGAGTGCACAGAGGTTGACACATGTGAGTGGGTTGTTCTGCAATGGTGGGGGCATGGTACACTGGCCGTCTGGTAAGATACGTAGGATGCAATATATGATGTGTTTTTATGTTTGTTTGTTTTTTTAATTGAAAAAGGATCTGATTGTAGGCATGGTCTGGTACAAATTCAGTCACAGAGGTCTAAGACATCTGCCTGTCTTCAGGTACTCTGTGATGCTTCTCCCTTCTGTGTGATGAACTCTGTTAGTGTAAAGGTGAATCAGAACCCAGCTTTCTGAATGATCACTGTGGCTTGGCAGAAATAAAGATACTAGAATGTCCTCAGAGGAATGATTTTGGGGTGCAGACAATCCTTTCAGGGGGTGCACGGCATGGCAACCCATCACGGGTGCTGCCACAACTGTAGGGGCAGGGAGCCACCAGCAGGACAGGGAAGTCTGCCCTTACCTCTGCCTAAGCTGTGCTCGGACCCAGGGGGTGAGAAAGGGACCTAGCACTTTGGCACTCAGCTACAGGTGACACCTAATCTGATGTTATGATATTTGCATATCCAAATGAATGAGGTAATGCTTAATTTAAATGAGTTAAAGCCACCTTTTAAGTATACAGTTGGAGGGGTGGGTAATGAATATCCAAACACCCTGGAGGATTTAAAACAGGAGATGAGCTGCAAAAAACTGTGCTGCTCCTCCAGAGATATCTTCTCACACAAGCAACCTGAAATGTATGATTTGTAGAAAAGAATTCCTGATGAAGTCCACCATGGAAGCTTTAATGATAAATGGGATTCATGCAGGCCAAATGTTACTTTCTTAAATATGATTCTTTATGGCTTCTATAAAAATTTGTAGTAGTGTTATTTCAGACATTAGGAATACATTTTACGTCTGCATATCGCTTCATCCTTTCTTGATTTAAACTGATTCATGGCAAAAGGAAGAAGCAAAGTCTTCATGCCAGGTTGTGCTGAGTCCTTTAACAGTGAGAGCTGCAACAAGTGGCAAACTCTTTCAGTTACAAAAAGCACAGGATCATCTTTAGATCCACTGGTTACAAGTCATTTAACATAACTTTTAAATACTTCAGTGAATCAAAAGATAAAATTACCACCTAAGTGATATTTTATGGATTTATATTTTCTTCCCAAAGAACTTGTATCTCTAATAACCAGCAATGATTCCAACAAAAAAAATACAACGATTAAAGTACTTTTACCTGTGGTAAACACAGTGTAGAATAGAAATATCCTGCCTTTCTAAAGCATTTTTCCTTCGTAAATTTGAAAGTTTTACATAAATATGCATGCAATGCCCAACACATACAATTAGAACTCTATCATAATCTGTCATATATGTGTGCGTGTGTATATGCATATATACATATACACATTCTAACCATATATATTCTTAAAATATTTTGAGATATTTAAAAGCTGCATTCACAAACCCACTGGAATAATGAGAAGCCAATGCCTCCTAACTGTAGGATAACACTGGTTTACTGCTCACTTGTACAGTGCTTCACTGGATGTATATTTCCTAAAAATCATCCAGTAAATGTCTTCCTTTAACATGTTAGCAAAAGACTAGATTAGCCTGCAAGTTCCGATAAAACTATAGAAAAAATATGAGATACAAATAGTTGTGTGTAAAACAATTCTACAAGAATTTAATGGAATTTACTGTCTTTACCAACATTTTAATTATTTCTGAAAGTAATACATGGAAAATTGTGGATTCTTATCCTTGATAGGAATTATATTCTATAATGTCCTCTCAAGATAATGGAAAGTATGCCACTTTTAAAATTTTCTTTAGTGAAAGCATAGGACATTTTACATGGCATGTCAAAAAACAAAGCTGGCCTGTGACAAGAGAAATATCTGCTGTGCATATTGGCCAAGTACGTCGCTGGTTTATATGCAGGTTTTCATCACCTGAGTCAGAAAAAGGGTACATGAGCATGGTCAGTGATGCATTTATTCTACTATTTCCTAATCTTCCATATGTTGATCAAACTCCTGTCAAGACTGTTTACCTCTGTCAATTATCTTTGCTAATTTTAGCGGCTACCAGTATGCTTACATTGAGTATATAAAAATTCTCAAGTAATTAAGGAAATGTGGGGAAATGTTTTGGTCTACTAATTTTAAACCACTATGGACAATAAATTAGCTAATTAGCAGAAACTTATGATGGATTATGACAGACTTCTAATTTGTTTTCCAGAAATCTACTCAAAAGAAGAAATTACTTCTGGCTGTATCTCAGGTTCCCATTCTGCAAAATGGGGATTTTGCTACTGACTCTTTCTAAAGCAGAACTCTATGGATGGAAAGCATGCGATCAGACACAGAGCTAATAATACTAGTAATAACAGTTTATTGCTGCTATTATGATAATTACTATCTTAATTATGTCTATTAGATATGTGGTATTATTCATTATTGATAGTTTTCATATTCTGTGTGGAATCAAGGCAGAATCGAGACCGAACTACAGTGTTTTAAGAATACCCACAAATTGTTCAGGTGGAACCTGGCTGCATTTAATAAGATGCAATAGTGTGTGTCCGCACCTTAGATATGCTGGATAAAGTGCAGAAATCAGAGTTGGCATCCACAGCCTTTGAACCTGTAGGCTATGTATTCTCAGATCCAAATCTGGCTGACCTGCTGCAAGTGACCCAAAACAGAGCAATAAAATTTGGTTCCATGACAGAGCTGTGAAGCTGCCAAGGACACAGGCAGTTCCCATGAATGGGCTCACGGGCCAAGTCTCAGTGATGCAAGAGTTTCATTCTGAAGACCCAAAATGTAGAAAATGTTCTCTAAGCATGCACACATGTATCTACATACTTTGTGGGTAAAAACGTTATCAGTGTGATTTTTAGACAAATAAGGGCATATGAATGGTTCCAGCATCACGGAAAGAGCAAGCTCTCCAAAATGTTATCCCCTGCTGAGATGTCACAGACAGACTCTCTGCTGTACTGTACGGGGAGACTTTGTACTTCAGCTTCATACTTTCCATTGTGAGGGTTTTTGAGAGGTTGTTTTTCCTTTACACAGCTTACAACTTATTACATGAGCCTTGAAGAAACCTAATCTTTGAGACCTCTGTTTCTTTAGTAAACCAAGTTGAAACTAGACAATGAACTCAAAAGACATTAATGATGCACATACGGCTTAAACAAGAACCACACACATGCAAACAAAAGCATAAAGACCTTTTTTTCAGAAAATCAAACAGGGAAAAAATGACCTGGAAAAGCCTCTGTGGGCTGAAATCTCCTCTTTCTTCCCCTCTCCAGTTACAGAGGAACCTAGTACAGTTATTTGCCACTACTCACTTCTCTTGTCGGGGGAAAGAGGTGTGTATTTGAGTGGAAAAAAATTTCTTAATGTTAGACGAACATCAAAGGAGAACCTGTTATGTTAGGAATCTGGTTAATTTTAAGAGTGTTATTTGTAGCTCTACAGTAAAGCAATGAATTGAAGCTCATCTTTCAAAATATAAAGCCAAAAACCCACTTTCACATAGAATTTCATTCATTGTAGTTTTAATGATATTGCCTATGACTCCTTCCTTTCTTGCTTTACTTACCACTTCTACTGAAAGTGTAATTTCCTATAAATCTAATTGTTTACCTGTGGCTTCTTCTAGTGTGGCAACATCCAGCCTGGGGCTATAATTTCCATAGCCAGCAGCAGTAAAGGCACGAATCTGGAAAACATACACTGTTCCTGGCTTTAGGTTATTAATAGAAGCTGAAGTGGACTTGGTTTTCACTGTTGAATAGGTCCTCTCCCTTTGATCCTGATAACAATAAGACAAAAGATTAAATGACATTTACAGGTCAGATTTTATCATGGTTGCACATCAGCAACTGACAGCCAGCCTGGGTAGTTTATTTCAATTTGTTGAATGCTTTCTTTCCCAACATAAAAATAAAGCTTACTCTGTGGAGTATTACAAAACAGTGTCAATGCAATGAGAAGCTCTAAGTGTAACATAAAATTCAAATGGGAAGCTCATGTTGTTACTCATAAAACATCCAGACATCAAATGAATGCTTCTTTGGCTCTGATCACATTTTGTGAAATTTTCACGAGAAAATAGCTTGACCACAGCTTTCCAGGGGGATTTGTAGGGTCTAAACAATTCAAAGAAAGAGAAATCTGTTTTTTCATGGTCAGAACACCTTTCCTCGTTACCTTCCAACACATTTAAAAAATACAATACTGCCAATGTTTAACTGGATGGATTTTGCACCAAATTCTTAGGTCCTTAGCTCAGTTTTCACTTAGTTTTTTTTTCCTCTGGCTTTTAGTCTTTTCTCAGATTTTGACTCTATGGCACCAAGAAGAACTCAGGGAAAGAAGCTCAGTATGACACTCCCCAAATTTGAAGCTGTAAGATTACAAACCCTATGAGTAATAACTCACTTTCAAATACGACAAAAGCTGTATCACAGATCATTACAGTATTCAAAAGGCTCTACTTATTCATCACATTTACTGATCCAGATTATCTTTCAGCATAGATATGTGCAGCCCTGTTGATTTTCAGTGGCAGACGCAACCCTGATTTGAAGGGCAGAAGAGATGAATTAACCATCTGAATGCACCACATGACCAGAGAAGCACGAGCCATACAAGGCAGCGCTAATGAGATGGATACAGAGTGAAGGAATAAATCTGAAACTCATTTCAATAGCACTCTGCCAGCTAAAAATGATGGAGAACCTTCCCCTCCGCAGCCAGTAAAGCAGCAAAGGCTTTTGCTGAAATACAGGGTTAAATACTACATACATGATTTCTTTCCTGAGATTCAGTAATGGCTTCTCCTGAGTCTTGCCCAGTCTGTCATTTGAGCAAGCCCACCAGCTTGGCTAGCAACAATTTTTCATATCTTCTCTAAGAGGGTTTAAATCATATGTAAGTGAGGACCATGGTGGAATGTATGCTGGTATGTGAGAAAGAACAGGAATGCTTGAGATATGAGAAACAAGTGTAAGAAAACCTTAAATAGTCAGGTTTGGGACTGTAAGCCACAGTGGAATTTCAGAGTTTGGGTTTTGATGCATAAATTTTGAGGCTTTTTTGAATTGCCAACAGTTCTTACATTCGGAAAAAAAAAAAAAAAAGCAAAAACAAAGAATTAAAATAATGTGTGCTGGAAATCTCACAGGACAGGCTTACTTGGGAGACTTCAGAGTGTTTCCATTCCAGCCATAGCCAGAAGTGAGAGGTGAAAAAAACACTTATCAGAATATTTCAGAACCACAAAAATGTTTGATTTAATTTGTCTCTAAAAGGACCTAAAAGTTCAGATTTTTTTTTTTTTAAACTAATGAAACAAAACTTAAGCTGCCTCTCTCATTCTGAGCAAGAAGCTTATGAAATACTTTTCAAGCTGAACTGCATTATTTTGGAAGGCAAGTATTAAGTATTTGTGTTGAAATTGTCTCACCAAAATACAAGTACATAGTCCAGTCTATCTGTGACTGTTCATAGCATGAGCTTCTTATTCTCTTTTATTAATTTCACTGTAAAAAGTGCAATACTGGTACGTTTCCTTTTATTACAAAAGAAGTTTAACATCAGTTCTTGTCTTTGCAAACACAGAAAACTGGCAATAAAGTTCTGCTGCTTATTTAAAGTAACACAACTATATAGGGAAAATAATAAAAACTACATTCTAAAAGATATTATTTTATGAAAGTTTAGTATTTAGCATTTTTCTGTCATTTGCCACTACTTATTTAAGTTATCCATTTCATTTTAACAGACTAGAAAATACCACACATATAAAAATAAACAAGTTTTTTTGTTTGTTGTTTGGGGTTTTGAGAGGTTTTTTTGTGTGGAGAACAGTTTTGCCTTCGGTAAATATGTAAACTTTTTTGGTTTTAGTGTATGAACTTTATTTGTGTGTGCACACACACGTTTGAGGAAGAAAAATTACCTGCTAAAATTTTTAAAACAATTGTTTAGCTATCTGTACATATCTGGTAATTTTTGTTATAAGAGCCACAAAAGTGAACAACTGAAACTAGGACTTGGCATCAACATACAAACATTTTATTCCCTTCTCATATAATATAAAGATCTTTTGATAAGTATATTTGTGTAATTTAGCACAAAAAATTACATGTGACACTTGATATTAGATCCAATCTGGTCTGAATTTACCCAGTTCTGTTACTTAGTAAGCTGACATGCTCTTTTTGATACAGAGGTACTATTACCTTGTTTGCCGAGACGAAATGTCTTCACAAGTGATCACAAAGGAGCTCCTTTGATCATTCTTTGCATTTCAATTCTTTCTTTTTTTTCTCCCAGAATGTTTTACACAAAATAGGAATATGTTATGTGCTACAGTAAATTTCCCGGGGAATCTGGAGGAGCCACACTTAGTCTGGGTCCCAGGACAACCATGTAGCTGTACAACCTGCCTTCACTCTGCTTTCATCCAGCTTATGGTTGCATGTGGCCGTACTTATATGCTTGTCAGAATTTTTTATTCTGAAGTACTTCAAAGTTATCATGAATGAAGCTCTAGACACATCGAAATGAATGGCAAAACTCTGAGTGACACCAATAAGATTGCAATTTCACTCTACCAGAAACAGAGATCACTTCATCTGCTACTGAAAAGCAGCCCTCAATTCATTCTTGCGTTGAGAGAACAAGTGAAAAATAAATCTCACAATGTTGGGACCTTTTAAAAGGACAAATAAGGAATATTTATCAGTTGAAACTGTAGGAAGTGCTTTGGAAGTTTTCAGACCACAAGTCGAAGCGGCCCAGCTCATAAGGAACTATCAAATGCAGTCAAGAGTTGTGTTTGATTTATCACCTCAAGACTGGAAGTACAGTGGACACAGAAGGAAATGAAACAAAATTTATACATCATGTAGAAAGACATGAAGATCATAAAAACCATGGTAAAATGTCCAGTGCCAACTTAACAATTAAAAGTGGAAAAAAAAAAGGCAGATTTCAAGTGAATATTTAATTTTTAGGATATCAAAATATAATATATGGGACATATGATAGCAATAATAATTGCAGGGAGTTGCTAGTTTTTAAAAATGAGCAAAATCACAGTGACTTTGATAGCTGATGCCTTTAACATTGTTCCACAACACAGCAAGCCAACATGAAGCAAACAGCACATTGTTGTATATTACAGATAATCTTAGCACTTACTTTCTCATAATACTTGATTTCATATTCAGTAATGACTCCATTGGGATGTTCTGGTTCCTGCCAGGAAAGCTCCACACTCCTCTGCAGCACTCTCTCTTTCATTACTCCACTAACTTGCGAGGGAGCTGTTTGGACAAGATGTGTCAACAAATAAAAAGCAAATTTGTTGGATGCCTAAAATCAAATGTCATTACTGATCCACCCCATGCTGAGCCCCTTTCATTAAGGTAAAAGAAAGCACCTTTCATAGCTCACAATTCAAGCTAATGAATATTCAAGCAGGACCCTATTACTGTTCATAAACTTAGAATGGAGATCGAATTAAAGTGCAAACAACAAGAAGTGGTACTGCTCAAGTTAGCGCAAAACTCAGATTGATGGGATAGGAATAACGATTAAGCAAATGAATTCTGATTAAGATAGCAAAGCAGATTTTTAGATTGATGCATAGTAAATCAAGAGTCTAAATATTTATTGCATATGCTTCTGATATGCACGTAAAAAGAAAAATAATGTTTTAGAAACAAAATCACATTTTAGGCTTATTTCATACAACTCATTCCCATTCTGCTTAAAAAAAATAATCTGTTGCACTATCTGATTATGGCATGGCTCGGCTTGGTAACGAAAACAACTTTGTTATGAGACTAACCCCCTCTTTTTCATGAGTTCAAACCTTTCCAGGACATTCTCTCTTTAGACCTGAAGTTTCCATATTTCATCTTGGCATTTTTTGAAAGTGTGAGACAATTTAAGAAGTAGATCTTATCAAATAAAGGGGACAGAGTCTTCCTCCACCTCACTCTACAGAGACATTCATACATGCACGCTTGCACACATACACAGTTTTCTAATAAACATCACCCACAAACAAGCACCTTTTGAAATTAAAAAAAAAAAACACAAACAACATTACAGAGCCATTGACTCTCACTTAAACATGTTTAAGAGATAATGTAATAAAATGTGAGAGACTGAAAAAGTAACTTGCTTTATCAGTTTATCTCATGTTTATCAAGCAGGTGAACTTCACGTTTTACCATTCATCTTGAGTCTAATTAGAATAATTCCCATTCTAATATTTTCAGAACACATACTTTCCTTTATTCAATTTAAAGAACATAGAAATAAAACATCTAGAATGCACACTCCTGTAGCACTAAGGACAAAAATATGATAAAGTAAAAATATCTACAGCACAATCAAGACAACAATCCTCTAAAAAACTTAAAATTTTATTGTTAACTTAATTCTGAAGTTTATAGCCTTTTTTATTATAACATGTACGTTCATGTAAGTTTTTAAATTAAATTTATTTACAATTCATTAAAGGCTCCAGGGGTCCATGAAAATTAAGGATTGAATCCATGCATGATAATTTTCATTATGAACTATTATGTTGTATATACTCAGTATAATCAAAGTTGAAGACCCCTTAATGTATGCTGCCTTACTGATAAAAATCATAAAATTGCATCATGTAAACACCATGGGCTAATACATCATTCCAAAGCCAGGATCACTCTCTTTCACTCTTCTTGCATTTTCTTTCTAACAGCTTAGAGTATTTTCACTCTCTAATTAGTGGAATATACTCTTTTTTGTAGCTAAGGGTCTGGAATGCAGCAAACTAATTTACTCTGTCTAGTTTCCTTTGCTGTGATTAACTAGTTGTCTTCTTTGTCTAAGTGAGTACCACATCATCCTGGCTGAATTTCAGAGAGGTCATTACGTTTCATGTATAAGGTTCTATCTCATCCAGATACATGTTTTCAAAATGCCAATTTTACATTTTTAGATGTCCAAAATTGCTAATGTTCTTATTTATAATGCAATAATTTCATATTATTTAGGTCACTGGAGTTTGTTCTCAACACTTGCTGCCTTTTGTTTTAGCTTATCTTTTTTTTTCTTCATTCGATTGGTCACAGCATTCATTTTTTTTAAGCAGTGAAGCAAAATGAACTTGCCTCCTCTGTTATTAGTTAACTCAGCGTACGTGGAGAAGGAACAGCAATGCAGAGAAGGAGGAACAGAGGAGGGGGAAAATTTTAATCGTGAAAATGAAATATACTATGGAAGATTCCCACCTAACATCTGTACAAAGTACAACACAAACAGGCATATTCCATTCTTAATGGATTTCCATCCAAAACAAAATCTCTGATTTATTCACATTGCAAGACAGCACTCAAAGGTCCTAAATAAATACACTCTTAAATATATTTCCTGTGAATTAATATTCTATTCATTCAAGAATGGTCAGATTAAAAGATGGGGTTTTGTCTTTCTTGTGTTTTGGTTTTTTTCACCCCCCAACTAAAAACATTGTCCTACTTTTCATTGGTAGAATTACCACATGAGGAAGAAGGGAAAGTCCAACCTTGCAAATTGTGTATGTTGGTAGCTCTGAAGATAATTATCTTCTATATAATTCCCATACCATGTGATATTTCTAAAATGCAGTAAGTTTCCTGAGCTTATTTTGTGTCCCCACATTTGTCGGGGGAAGAAGGGAATCATCAAATCAGTTGAAGTCAGAGTATCCTCTTCTGGCAAGGCACACCAGGGTGCTGTTACTGCAAGGAAATCTCTGTAAACTAGAACAACCACGTAAGTCAATCTATTGACGTGAGAGGATAGGTGTATGTGCTATCTTTATCCTGCCTTTCGGGTTGCATTTCTTGATCTGTGCTTAATGAGAGAGTACAGGTCAGAAGCATTTTGTTCTTTATTCTATTACAATCATTTCCTCTGTATTCTCTCTGCATCTTTCTTACAGACTGTTTTGCATTCATGTTTTATTTGTTCTGGCTTCCTGACACATCGTTTTAAACCTTTAGCCCACTTCTCATTGACTATCCATGTTAATTAATTAACAAACCATTTATGGTTTTGAAACAACTATGTTTGAGTAAGCTTGAAAATGAATTAAAGCATACAATTCGTCCCTAAATACAAGATAAAATATGGTATTAAATCACAAAAAAAGATAAAAATAAAAAACAGAATTTAAAATACCATTTTTGTTCCCATTGCTAGCTAAACCAATATAATAATAATAATAATAACAATAACAACAACAACAATAATAATAATCTCACCATCATCATCAACTACTTCAGGTATTTTTTTCTTCTACTAATCTAGTTCTTGCCAATGCATCTATAACAAAGTTGTTCATGACAAAGACACTTCTTACAGCATTTCTAGACAACTAAGTAACCAGCCCAGAATGACTTGAGCATGCATAATCCCTGCTGTATCACTTCAGGTTACAAGAAGCATCACTTGTCAGAATCATTATTTCCATAATATATTACACTGGGGGATATAGGCTGTTCAAAACACCATTTGCTATCAACTTTCCTTCTGATAGACCTCATCTCGTCCTTTTCTGCTGACACAACATCCAATGCATCAAACACACACAGCCTCTCAGGGCTAACAGGCAGATGTACCTACACATGGTGCATAAGAAAGTACTTCGAGAATGACAGGCCCTCAGCACACTCATTCGGCTTTTTTTAAATGCTTCAAATATACCATTCAGCAAAAGGAAAAAAATGATTTTTCACCAGGTTTCAACATCATAGCCACAGAGAAATATAACTCTGCTGGTCTTTACTGATAAAGCCTTCAACTTATATAGATTTCAAGCTGGTCATCATTTTCAGATCAAGTTATAGAAAAAGTTAAAACTGAGGTGTCAAAAAGAGCAGGATATTCCCAGCAAATATTCTCTTCCAGAGAGAATATTGCATCTGGTAGACTGATGCATTACATCCATACTGCTAAGCCAAGAATATGGTATATTAATATGTGCACATATTTCAACATAGAAAACTGGTGATTTTTTTGGAAGGCATTGCTTTTAGTCCAGAGTCCTCTGAAAATGGTACAATATACTATTGCTCATGCCTTTAACCTCTGTCTTTAGCTGCTCTCCAGTTCTCATGCCTAACATTTCCCTTGGTCCACAGTGTACTTTCCAAAAGACAAAGAGAGACGCAAAGCTAAATCTTTTGCATTTTGTATCAGGGAAAAGAAAGAAGGAAAGAAAGAAGGAAAGAAGGAAGGAAGGAAAGAAGGAAAGAAAGAAAAGGAAAGAAAGAGAAAGAGAGAGAAAGCGAAATAGAAAGAAAAAGAAAAGAAAAAAGAAAGAAAAGAAAGAAAAGAAAGAAAAGAAAGAAAGAAGTACAAAATACTAAAACAAAACAATGAAAACTGAAAAAAAAAAGTGAAGCTGGACTTCCACATATAAGAGGAACTAGGCATAATGTACCAATTGCTAACACAAAATCAGCTGTAACACTTTTTATTGAAAAAAGATAACTCAGGAAAAGAAACAAACCTACACATTTCTCTGAGATTTCTTAAAGTCCTGCATCTGGAATATGTGTCAATTCCACCAACAGCATCAATCATGGAGACTTTTAATTTGATACTTTGAAAAAAGTGTCTGTAGAAGCAGTGTCTTGAATGTTTAGTAGTTCATGTGTATAAAACAAGCTATTACAGATTCTCAGAAATAAGGTTTCAACCCTGCAGTCCCACTTCATGCAGAAAGTTTCACAACGGAACGTGAGCAAATGCTCCCAATGCAGGACCAAACCCTGTATTAATAAATGGTACCAAATCTATGCTTAGAGCTCCAGCTTCAGGATTTTTTATAAAAGACTAATGAATGAATGAGCTTATCAGCCTTCCTTAACCATTTTGTAAAATATTTCTTTACCTTACAATAGCAGTAATGTACTTAAGTCAATCTGAACTTCATCTTGTACTTGCTGAAATCAACACCACCACTCATTTTCATAGCACAGGACCCTTACAGTACTTCCCGAAGGACAAAAACTCTTGGCTTTTGGCTTCTTTCCTTTTCATATCATGAAGATATGCAGCAATCCCTCAAAAACCACCAGCTTTTCATACAGCAGAAAAGAGATCAATTTTTACATCCCTGTAAAACCGTATCTTAGGGCCCAACATAAGTTTTACATTACATGAAGAATTAACACCATTCTTCTGCAACAGTGTTCTACAGCAGTTGGGGTGTGTTTTGATTATTCAGCATGAAGGGGACATTGCTAACAGATATAAAGCATGAAAAAACAGAGATATC